GTAATCATGAGTAAAATGTGTTTCCATGGCTCTCGTAACACACACGCACACACATGCGGAAAATAATCTGAGAAAAACGTGGAAGAATTTTCATTTAAACATTTTTCTTTTTTTTTTTCTTAAGTATGAATAATAAATTTTTTTTTTGTTTTTTTGAAAATGAGTTTTCCCGTTTTATTTAATATTATTATTTTTTAGTTAAATCCGAACGAGGGGGTGTGTAAACGCACGCACTCACGCACGCACCCCCACGCACAAACCTACGCACATTTTATTCCCGTGAATATAAATTGAAAAAGGCTTTCACACGTTTTTTTTTTATAAGCGCGCGTTATACGTTTGTTTATTTATTTAATTTAAAATTTGCAATAAAAAAAATTGAAATTGAAATTTAAATTTAAAAAACTGGAGAAATAATAATGATAATAATGATAATGATAATAATAATAATAATGACGACGGATTTATAATATTATTTGGAAATTTGAATTGTTTATTTTTATTTTTCGTCTCCGAGTTAAAAATTTGAGGTGGTGTAAAAGAAAAATTTTAAAATAATAAAATAATAATAATGATGATGATGATGATGATGATTTTAAACCGCCCCCCAAATGGAGGGTGAGGGGGGGAGGGGTTTAAAATTTTTTTACTCCTAAAAGGTAATCGAATGTGTTGGAAAAAAGAAAATTGTGATTTGCATGTATTTGAATTCGTGAGTTCGTGTGCGCGCGTTTGTTTTGTTTGTTTGTTTGTTTGTTTTACGATAAAAAGGAAAGAAAAAGAAAATGAAAAAAAAAAAAAAAAAAAAATTATGGATTCCTGTCGATAGTGTAAAAAAGAAAAAAAAAAAATTCTAAACACGTACAAGTGACCGATGATTTTTTTATTATTTATTGTGTAGATGGAATAAAAAAAAACCGGACCTTTCCAGACGTTTCCAGACCTTTTTTTTATTTATTTATATTATAATTATTATTATTATCATTTATTTATTTTATCGGTTTTTGCATATATATATATTAAAAAAAAAAAAAAAAAAGTTTTCATTATTGATTTGATGAATTCATTTTTTTTTCTCTCTTTCTCTCTCTAACGTCGTCCATATTTTTAAATTATTATTATTATTATTTTTTTTCTTCGTATCCAGACGGAAATTTCTAGAATCGTTTAAATGTAAAGAGAGAGAGAGAGATAGAGAAAGTTATTAAATTCAAAAAAAGCTGTGTAATTTTGCAACAAAAACGAGAGAAAAAAAAAAATAATAAAAAGAAATTTTCTGAGGGTAATACCCTTTGAAGAGCGAAGAATACATTTTTTTTTTTATAAATAAAAACAAACGCTCTGGAGTTCCATCTATTGGAAATTTTCCGAATTTTTTTTTTCTCCACAATTTTCCATAGTTTTCCAGAGTTTCGGAAAAAAATCAACAGAGTTCTCTGCTTTTCCCCGTCTCACTTTTTCTCTCTCGCTCTGTTTCTTTTCTGTTTTTCCAATCTTTTCCCTAACATGCTTTTATCATCTTCCGTCGTTTTTTCTTTTTTTTTTTTTTTTTTTCCATCCCTCTCTCTTTCCCGTCATCATCATCATCATCCGTTTTTCCTTTTGGTTAAATTCGGATTGGAAAAAAAAAGAAAAGAAAACTATGATGATAATTTTAAAAAGAAGACGAAAATCTTTTGTGAAATGGAAAAAGAAAAAAAAAAAAATTTCTTTTTTAAACGAGACGAGTTTATAGTCTTTTTCGTTACATTTGTTATTTTGATAAAATGTTAAAGTTTTTCACTTTTTTTTTTTTTTTTTTTTTTAAGGTGGCAGAACTGGAACAGCGAGTTCTCGAGGCTGAAGAGAGGGCCGTTGAAGCTGAATCAAAGGTGAGAAAATTTTTATATTATTATTATTTATTTTTTTCTCGTTTGTTTATTTGTTTGTTTGATGACGTGAAATCGAAATTTTTTTGTTTTTATTAATAATCGTTTTCGATAAATCGAAATAATTGTTTTTTTATCGTTCGATAATTATTTTCCTGCGAGAAAAAAATTTTTTAAAAACGTTCGATTGTGACCATTGACCGTTTTTCTTGTTTTTCCGATTCGCGTTCCGTGAAATGTTTTAAATGTAACCGATTTTACCGTCACCGTACAAAAAAAAAATTAAAGAGTTTTCCGTTGTTATTATTATTATTATTACTATTATTATTATCATCAATTATCGTCGTATCGATGGGAGAGGAAATAAATAATAATAATGATAGTAATAAAAGAGGAGTGGAGAGGAGAGGAGCGTTAAGTTTGTTAATTAATTAATTATTTAATTAATTGTCGCGTTTGTTTTGATTTAATTTTTTTTTTTTTTTTTGTGAAAATGACCCGCGATGTGGGATCGGGTCAATAGAAACGCTTTTCGATTTAAAAGGGGGATGGTAGGGGATGGGAGGAAAGGGGGAAATGAAGGAGGAGGGGGAAAAAAAGCGCAAACGATCTTCCGAACCACCATCTACTACTACTACTACTACTAGTATTGTTATTATTATTATTATAGAGTTTCGCCTTCGGGTAACCCCCGCGTAGTTTTATTTCTCTCTCTCTCTCTCTCTCTCTCTCTCTCTCTTTTTCTGTCTCTCATCTGTGTGAGCGTTGCCTAGCGACGAACTCATTGATCGTGGACCCTTTTTCTCGTGGTTTTTTTTTTTTTTTGTTTTTTTTTTTACGTTCGAAAAATTGTCAGTCTTTGTTTAACTTATGAATTTCTAGATTTTTCCGTTTTTTCTCTCTCTCTCTCTCTCTCTCGTCGTCCTTGGCACGCTCTCGTGTTCACCCCCGTCTCGTTCGTTTGTTCGTGTAATAATTTATTATCATTATTAATATTTTTGTTTTTTGTTTGTTTTTTTTTTTACTCGAACGGTAACATTGACATTGGTTGTCATTTTTTTTTTTTTTTAATAATAAAATGTTTGTCGTCGTCGTCGTTTGTCGTTTGTCGTTGTTTTTACGTTTAATTAAAATCTGACAATGAGAATCGTAATTGACGTCATTTATGTTAGTCAAAAGTTGTTGTCGAAAGTTCTAAAAGGTTGTATTTTATTTTTTGTTTGTTGTAGTTTTGTTTTTAAATACAATAGCGATTGTTGTTGTTGTTTTCTATTTTTGTTGTCGGTAAATTTTGTTGTTGTTGGTGGTTGTTGTTATTTAATATATTGATTTAATCTGATTGAATAATTTAGTTGGAAAACAACAACAACAAAAAATTTGTTTTCGTTTGTTTTTTTTTTTTTTTTTTTTTTTTATTGTCGGTTTGATTCATGTTGTTGTTGTTGTTGTTGTTGTTTGTAACTAATTCGTCTCCTGTTATCGAATGATAAATAGGAGGATAGAAAAAAAATTCTTTTTTTTTCCTTTTTTATTTTTTAATCTTTTAAAATAAAATAAGATGTCGATAAAAAAAAAAATAAATAAATATGATTGTTCGTTGGCAAACAAACAAACAAACAAACTAAAAGATAAAAAAAAATAGGGATAAAAAAGGAAGAAAAAAAAACAAAAGGGAAGAGTTAGGGAAGAAAAAAAAATGAGGATTCGAAGAATTTGTGCCAAGAAAAAAAAAGGAAACAAAATCCATCGAAGTGCTTCAGAAAAAAAAAAAAAAATCGTCTGCTTTGGTTTCAATGTTCCGTTATGATTACACAGACTCTTACAGGATCAAAGTGACTAATGGGTGGTGGCATCTAAAAGCTTTAAAAAAAAAAAAAAAAAACTTTCAAGTTAATAAAAAAAACTCGAAGCTAAAACTCTTGATTACTAAAATTATTATTATTATTATTATTATTATTTGTAGTTTCCCTTGGCACAGTGCCTCGTTTTTTTTTTTTTTTTTTAAAATATATACACGATACTACACTTGAAACTTGAATTTGAATAATAATAATAATAAGTATCATGAGACGAGTAGAGAGAGAGAGAGAATGAATGAATGAGGGGGAGAGAGAGAGACAAAATTTATTATAATTCAAATAAAGAATCAATTTTTAATTTATTTAAAATAAAAATCATCTCTCATTCTTGGATATAAAATCCTGGAGAAAGAAAACCGATGGGAAAAGATGGCGGGGGAGAGTGGGTGGAGGAAACAAGAGGGTTGTTATTTGCATTTGTCAGTTCACTCGAACAATTAATTTTTTTTTGAGGGGAGTAAAAAGCATTTCTCATGCGGTAGAAACTGGGAAAAAATAAGGAGGGGGGAAGGGGGTGAATGAACGACCGACGGTTATTATAACAATGAAAGACTGATTCTGAAGAGTCGTCGTCATCGTCGTCATCGTCAGCTGACTACTGGAAATACGATCAATTATGAGTCATACACATAGGGTTAGAAGGAGAGGGAAGGGAGGGGGCGAAAGTGTTTTTTTTTTTGAGGGTTGAATCGTCGTAATCGTCGTTGTCGTAAACTTGTGATAATAAATCCGTGCGTTTTTTTTTTTTTTTTGCGCTTATCAGAATTTCTTCCCATGTCTCATTAAAAAAAAAAAAATCGATGAGGATCGATTTGAAAGGAAGTTGATTCACGGCCGTGGCAGCAGCAGCAGCAGCAGCAAAAAAAAATTCTTAGTAGTATTATTCTTTGTGGGAAAACCCTATTAATAGAATCGTCGAAATTAATATCTCCCCCCCACTCGTAATTTTTTTTTTTTTTTCCTGTAGGGGAAAAATATGAATATATATATATATATAAACGTGTGGTATATATACGAAATGACTAGTTAGTCTTTTTCTAAAACCGAATCAATCTGTAGTTTGTTTGTTTGTTTTGCTTTTTTTTTTTATTAATTTGGTTGTTATTAATTTCGTGATTTAAAAAAAAAAAAAAAAATGACGCGGATAAATAATTTGTTCGCGTTTCGTAAGTTTTTTTCTTTTAGGTTTTTTTTTTTTTTTTTATTTTTCGGTTTTTTGTCCATTACTTTGTGATATTAATTAATGTTGGTCTGATTTTGACAGGTGCGTATGATGGAAAGAAGGGGAGATTGGTCGATTAATTCGGAAACGACGAGCAATCAATCGGCGGAAATACCCGAAACGCAAAAAGTCATAACGAAATTGGAAACGCAAGTCGAAGAGCAGAAAAAATTGAGGTTGCAAGAAGCGAAACAAGTCGAAGCGAAAGCAGCTTTGATAAAGGAATGGGTCGCTAATAAATTGAGAGGTTTGGAAGAGCAAAATCAACAGCTGAGAGAGCAAAACGACAGGTGCAATCAGCAAATAGAACTGTTGAGAAATCACCTCGAACAACTCAGGCACATGAAACCTGGGGTGAGAACGAGTTTGAGTTTGGACGTGGATAAAGAAGAATTAACTTCGCTCAACAATATATGCAATAGGTGAGTGAGAGTTTGTTTCTCTTTTTTTCGTTTTGGTGTGGAAGGGAAATGACGTAAGAGAGTTAAAAAGGGATGGAGTATAACCGAAACCGGAAGTGAATGTTTTTAACAAATTTTTTTTTGAAGGGAACGCTCCACTCTCTTTATTTATTTTTTTTCCCTGCACCCATTTTTTAAACTTTGATTTTTTTAATACTGTACAAAAATTCTAGAAGTTCCCTACCCCTCCCCCCCCGCAAAAGGTTAAATTTGAAATTAATCATTATCGAGGGATACGTGAAAAAAAATTATTATTATTATATTTGTCGACGACATTTTGTTTCTTCTTTTTCGCGTTCTAAATGGATTCGAATTCAATTTTCATCAGTTTCCAAGGAGATGTATATATATATTTAAAATTCGAACGAATAACAACGGAAAATAATAATAATAATAATAATAATAAATATGTATGTATATATACGTATGTATACACACGTGTACGCGTCCATTGACAAAGTTCAAAATTATTAAGTGTGATTGGGAAAAAAGAAAAAGAAAAAAAAAAAAGAAAAAAAGAAACAAAATAAAAATAACAAAAAAAAATTTAAAAAAAAAAAATTAAGTTTATAATAATTCATTCTAATATTCATTCATTCATTCATTCAATCATTCCTTAAAGTGTGTGAAAATTTTTAAAAAATAAAATAAATAAAAAAAAACAAAAACAAAAAAAAAAAAAAAAAAAAATTCAAAGTGATGCCGCAATTCTTAAGCAAGCTCTGGGACAAAGTTCTCACCGTTTTGATAAGTTTGGCCGAAAACGAAGAATTCGAACAGAACGATAGGAGACCGAAAGGAGGAGCGAGAACGTTGGATTTCATACAGAGCGCGATATTTAATCTAAGGGAAAAAAACGGTTCGTGCGTGGAAAACATACTCGATTACCTTTGCACGCGATACGATGTGAACGTGGAAAGCGTCATGACGAGAGTCATGACGGCTCTCAGGAGAGGAGTCGCTATAAAAGTATTGGAAAAAGAGGGAAATCGTTACCGTTTGTCGAAAGCGATGAGCTTTCAAGAATTGGAAGATGACAAAAGGAAAAAGGGCGTCGGAGTTGAGAGTCAAATCAAATTCGCGATGGGCCCCCATTTGACGGATTCGATGATTTCGAACGAGTTCAAAAACGACGATGATGTCATCATGGATGCCGAAATGGTCGATTTGGAAGAATATTGTTAGCGAGTTTTTTTTTTCGCAGACGATTTTTTGGTGTAAGGAGAAACGAAAAAAAAAAATAATAATAATAATAAAAAGAAAAAAGAAAAAACAGGTTATATCATTTTTACGCGTTTTGTTTTGTTTTCTTTCTTTTAAAAAAAAAAAAAAGAAAAATTATAGGTTACGTTTTTTGATCGTAACAAAACTCGTTTTATTGAAAAGAATAAAAAAAAATTTTTTTTTAAAACGTGAACCCCCAGCCCCTCTCCCTCTACCCCCCTCCCCCGTGCTCCTCTTCCTCTTTACTATTTTTTTTGTTTTATGTAATCAGCTGTCAAGTGAAAAAAGTGTTTTTATTTTTTTTTTATGTGTGTCGATCTCCAGTGGAAAATCTCGAATAATGTTTTTATGAAAAAAAAAAAGTGTGTAAATAATAAATTTTAAAAAAAACCTGGAATTATTTATCCAGCAAACGTGAAATAAGAAGAATACACGTGAAAGAAAATTATTATTATTATTTATTTTTTGCAAGTGTGAAACTAACGTTTGGTTTGTTGTAAATAACAAAAAATTAAAAAGGAAAAAAAAAAGTAATAATAATTTGTATTTAATTTTTAAATAAATTTTATTAATTAATCTGCGTTGATTTATGTATTTATGTACATAAGTTATATACTAAAGGTTATTTAAAATTATTATTATTATTAAATATTGCCGATAAGTGACGTAAGTACGCGTTAGAATTTGGGTGACGGTTGTAAAAAAAAAACTTGGAAAAAAAAAAAAAAATTATTCAGAGTGAATTTATTATTATTATTATTATTATTATTATTATTATTATTATTATTATTATCAGGGTAATAAATAATGGAATTGTTACGTTAACTCTGATAAATTATCCCGTTCCAAAATTGTAAATGTTTTCTCTCCAGATTATGTACAATTTAATTCTTATCTGGAGTTTGGAGTAGTGTGTGAATATTATGGAAATACACGTTGATTAATTTCTTTGTGCGTGAGAGTGAGGGAGTGCGCGCGTGTTAGAGATAATAAAGAGTATTATTATTATTATTATTATTGTTTGTAGGCCTTTGTCGACGACTTCGAATGCTCTTCTATTAGCTAATACAAAGCGTAGATCAGACATAAGCCGAAATTCGGTCGAAGAACCTCTTTATGCTGAATTAAAAAAGACTGAAAGTAATTTAAAACAAAGAAAAAATATAACAAATTCCACTCCAGCAAAACAATTTCCAGGTGAGAAAAACAAAGGAAAGAAAAGAGAAGAAAAATTGTTGATTTTACGTTTTTTGTAAAATTTTTTTTTGTTTTTTTTGGGGGGGTGCGTTTTCTTTCAGATACCGAAGTCATGACTTCACGTTTATCCGAAGATTTAGAAGAAGCCATTGTCAATTTGAATATCATTCCAGATATTTCCATGGATGGAGATGTGAGCGGTGATGATTTGACTCACGATTATGCCGAAATATACACTCCATCCAAAGAACGAATGCCTTGGTTTGTTAATTTCTCTTGTTTGTTTGTTTTGTTTTAGAAAAAAAAAAAAAAAAAATGAAGACTTTTTTTTTTTTTAGGAAAGAAGTCAACTGTAGCGTGAGATCTATCGAATCCGACGATTTGCCGCCGAAACCACCGACGCCTCCTTTGCACAGGTTTCCCTCTTGGGAATCCCGAATATATCAAATAGCTGCAGCGGGTTTCAACGTTGCCTCCAATCATCCCCTTCTTTCCACTGCTCACCACATGAACATGACAAATTCTTTGCCCTACGACAAAACAAGTCACGGGACAAACATGTCGCCTTTACACAATTCTCTTCCTCATAATTTAGCATTTAAGGCCTGTCACTCTCCAAATTTGCATCACAAAATCAATTCCAGGTAGTTTGGTGAATGAATTTTTTTTTTTTTGTTTGTACAGTGTTACCATTTGCCTCTCTCTATCTTGATTCCAGTCATCAGAATAATTGCTCAGTTAATGAAATTCATAGCTCAGAATGCAGTAATAATAACGTGATTGGAGCGAGTTTGGTGACGACCGGCGATAAAAGCGGCGGCGGCGGCGGCGGTGGCACGGGTCCAGGTACCATGGGTTATTGCGATATTAACGTGCCTGTCTACGCTACGGTTAAAGGCGTAAGTACAATGCGATAAACAATTAGTGCCGAGGATCAGACATTGTACGTCATTCGATTTTTTTTTTCCAGCGTGCTAGTCAAATCCGTTCGATTCCGTTCACCGGAGACTCCTCCGATGATTCGAGCGATGGAGAAGACTGTCCCAATCATAGTCATGCTAGTCAAGGTCAGCCGGCCACTCGAGCCACGAGTTCCAGCGAAGACACGTCTTTGTCTGGCGGTTCTAATTCTAGTCCTTTAAAAACATGCAGCCTTTTGCCTTCCAAAACGAGAGGTTTGTATTTTTTATTAAAAAAAAAAAAAGGTAAAAAGGGCGCGTAATTTTAAAATTTAAATTTAATTGAATTCACCGTTAGATACATCGTTCGAATCTGGAACTTCCGACGATTATGCCATTCCTCCGGATGCTGTTTCTTCCACTTCTGCATCTTTCGAATCATCCATACCGTCAATTTTAGTTAGGAGCTCTTACATGGATAGCCCGACGAAAACAAAGGGAATCGAAAGTTTAGAAAAAGCCGGGTATCTGACGAAACTCGGTGGAAAGCTTAAAACGTGGAGGAAAAGATGGTTTGTTTTGAAAAATGGAGTTCTTATCTACTGGAAATCGCAGGTAAGTGAATTTAAACAAATGAAATTTGCGCGGAAATGAAAATCGTGAAAAACTTTTTTTTTTTTTTTTTTGTCAGAATGACGTCAATCAAAACAAAAAACCAGCGGGAGAAATTTTCCTCGACGAGTCGTGTAGAATCACACGAGCGGAAGGCGCGGCAACGTTCGAAATAAACAACGGACGGAAAACATATTACCTAACGGCAGATTCCATCGCACACATGGAAGAATGGCTGAGAATATTACAAAACGTTCAGCGAAGGAACGCGACCAAGTTACTGTTGAACAAGGAAGAGCAAAAACCCACGTTGCAAGGATGGTTGGTCAAAGTTAAAAACGGGCATCCGCGAAAATGTTGGTGCGTACTCCTGGGGAAAATGTTTTTATATTTCAAAAGTTCATCGGAAACGAATCCCGTCGGACAGATAAACATGAGAGATGCGAGAGTCGAAGAAGTCGATCACGTGTCGGACAGCGACAGCGAGGATAGAGATGGGGAGAGTAACGAGTACACGATCGCGATATTTCCATCGCACTACGGTCCGACGTACCTGATTTTCTCGAACAAATTAGAAAAAGACTCGTGGTTGTATCATTTGACGGTGGTAAGTATGAAAAAAAAAAAAAAAAAATGATGGTTGGAATGATGGTTGTTCCCCTGATAATAATTCAAGTGAATTTAATTACAGGTTTCCGGTGGAGGACCCAACGCCGGGACACAATGGGAACAACTCATACAAAAATTAATGGAAACCGACGGGGATCCGAATAACGTACTTTGGAGGCATCCAATGTTATTATATTCAAAAGACTGCATCACGTCTCCGCTGACGACACTCTCGACTGAAACTCTTCAAAGCGAAGCCATTAAATTATTTAAGGTAAGGAGGAAAAAAACGAGGGGAGGAGGAGCAACACAATCTGATCCCGCCCCCCTTCGGTACCCCCGCCCCCAATTAGGAGTCGAATGTATTTTTTTGTTTCCATTCCAGTCCTGCCAATTGTTCATGTCGGCAGCTTTGGATCAAGCCGGAATCGATTATCACGTCGTACTTGCCCAAAACGCTCTTCAACTTTGTTTGGATCAACCCGAACTTCAATCCGAACTTATCAGTTGTCTGATAAAGCAAACATCTCGTCCGATACAGCAAAAGCAGGGGGTCCAGGTAAAGGGCACCATCAAATTAAAAACTCCCCGCGTAAGTCCTGCATTCGCTATTTTTTTATTTATTTATTTATTTATTTTTACGATTACATAATTTTTATTTTATTTATTTATTTTTTTTTTAAACGAAAGCTTATTAAAGTTTTAAATGAAAATTTACGTCACGATACAGACGAACGAAAAGAAAATTTTTTAAATATGGTAGCCAAGCAGTAGACGCTGCTACTACCTACTTTCGATACCCGTCGATACCCGTAGCGAGAAGCCCCCAACTACTAGTGTAGTTATTAGATAGATTAGAATAAAAAAGAAAACAACACTAAAACATTGTAATGTTGTTGTTGTTGTTGTTGTCGTAATTAAGTCGTTTTAGAGCGAAATGATGATAAATTAGTTTCGAAACATTGTTTCACAAAAGTAGATTTTTTTTTTTCGTCGGCGTCCCCCCAAAAAAAGGAAAACTTTTAATAAGCGATTAAACAATTTTTTTTTTTTTGTTAATTTTAAGTTGCTGTGCTTATTGCTGACATTTTCCCCCACCCCCCATTTTTCTTTTCCAGTATGTTTTCAAAATTGCACTTTTTTTTTTTTTCAATGTTAAACCAATAGCATTTCACCATTATTATTATTATTATTTATTTATTTATTTGATTTTTTCTCGCGCCACGACAAAAAAAAAAAAAAAAAGCTTCGCAAACGAATTTTTCCATTTACTATTTGCTACTGAGTGTAATTTAACCTTTAACCTCTCTTTTCTATCATTTCACATTTTCCGATATATCCTTTCTCTCTCTCACTCACTCTCTCACTCTGTCTCTCTGTCTGTCTCTTTTTAGTTTTTATTTATTTATTGTTTTGTATTGTTTTAAAAAAATAGAAAAAAAAAAAAAACCTGTTTTATTTTTCAGGTTAGAATTTATATCTATATATATTTAATTACCCCGGTAATTAATTTTAATTTTTTTTATTTAAAAAAAAAAAAAAAAAGTCTGACTGTATGCCTGGAACTTTTTTGCCTGGAATGTTGGTGTTCTGTTTTTTTTATTTATTTGACGGTTTTAAAATGGCCTCCATTTTTTTTTTTTTTTTTTTTTTAATACCTGTTGTTGTTATTTATTTATTTATTACGCTTTGTTATTATTTACAAAAAAAAAAAAAAATTATTGCATTTCCTGTATTCGTGGCAATAGTTAAATAAGGCCGTTAGAGGGAGGGAGGGGAGGGAAGGGGTAGTGGTGATTATTATTAGGGTAGCTAGAGGGGAGGGGGGTGGGCACGTAGAATTTTTTTTTGTTGTCTCCCACCTCCTCCTTTTTCAAATGTATCTCGTTTTTCACTATTGACACGTTTATTGCCTTAGATTTTTTTTTTATTATTATTATTTTTTGTGGCTAATTCATTCATTGCATGAATTGTAAACTGCTTGTTGCCACTTCCTAAAAACAATAGAAATTTAGTTAATGCCACTTCATTTTTTTTCTAACGGGATTTTTTTCCATCGCAGTCGCTTTTGGGTTGGGTTCGGTTCTCTTTTTTTTTTTTTTTTTTTTTTGGCTGATAAAAAAAAGGGGCACCAACTATTGCAGCAATATCTTCTGTGTGCGACTCAGTCGTTGTTCAGCTGCGACTCGACGAATCGTGATTCGAGCAGTTCGGCATCCAGTCAGACTAAAGGTTCGCCTACTTCTGTGCAGGCAACTTGCGGCGATTTCAGCAAAGGGTGTCCATCCATACAAGTCCTCACGCAGGGTTGGCAATTACTCGCACTCGCGTGTTCACTTTTCCTACTCAAAAACAATAAGCTATTGTGGTTTCTCAAACTTCACCTGAGCAGGAACGCAGATACGAAGTAAGAGCAAGAAAGAGGGGGAGAGAGATAGAGTTTTGTTTGAAACGAACAAAAGTTTGTTAACTTTGTTTTGTGTTTCCCGCAGGACGGAATGTGGAAAGTATGCTCGATATTGTGCGAGAGCACTCGGAAGAACTCTTCAGAACGGTGGCCGACAAGTCAAACCATCCAGAATGGAAGTCCTGTCGATTTTACTTAAAAATCCATACGATCATTCTCTACCTCACGCGATACCCGTACACATGCTCAACGATACCTATCAGGTATGGTAGGAGATTTTCGAATGGAAAATCTCCCCAACCTTGAATGATTGATTGATTGATTGATTGATTTTTAACTGATAGGTCGTGAGTTTCGACGGTTCGACGACGATAGAAGAATTTTTATCGACGTTGGCACAGGAAATCGGTTGCAGAGAATCGTCCGCGAACGGTTTCACGCTTTTCAGCGATGATCCCATAGAGAAAAATCTAGAACATTTCATACCGTTGGATGCCAAAGTACGAAAATTCGACATTTTTTGCTTTCTGGAAAATTCGACGTCTGAAAAAAAAACAAAAAAAATTTATCTTTCTCTCTCTTTGCAGTTGTGCGACGTCATATCCAAGTGGGAAACGGCTCTCAGGGAAAAAGGTTCTGGAAAATTTGAAAATTCACGCCTTATACAACTAGTCTATAAAAACAGATTGTATTTTAAATGTTCGACGAGAACGGAAACGGAAAAGGAAAGGCTTTTGCTTTGTTATCAAACGAATCAGCAAATCGTTTTGGGACGGTATGTGGTGATGGCTATGGTTGCAGTCCCCTCCCTCCCGCCCCCCGTCGAATACACGAAATTGTTTTTTTTTTTTTAGGTTTCCTCTCACGAAAGAATTGGCTTTGGAATTATCGGCACTCATGACGCAAATCGAATATGGCGAATACAGCATAGAAAGGAGTCAGGGAAGGAGCGGAAATTTATTACATCAAGCCGTCAACGATTTTTATCCGTACAGGTACAGGGACGGTTTATCGCCGCAGAAAATGAAGTGAGTAAGACTTTGTTTGTTCCGTTTGTTTGTTTGTTTGTTTTAGAAACGTATGAAAATTTTTTTTTTTTTTTTTAACAAACAGAGAACTCCAAGATGAATTAATGGATAAATGGAAGGCACTCAAAGGAAGAACGATACCTGACTGCGTGAGAATTTATCTCACGTGCGTGCGAAAGTGGCCTTTTTTTGGTTCTTCATTATTTCAAGCAAAGGTGAGTCTAACGGGTTTTAACTCGGGTACCGAATGACGATGATGATAATAATACTGATGATGGATTTCGCAGTTGAAAACGGGAGACGAAAATCAAATCGGGGTTTTATGGGTTGCCGTGGGAGAAGATGCCGTAACGCTTCTCGATCTCGAAACAATGAGTCCGCTCGTTAGGCATCCATATTCGGAAGTGGTCACGTTCGGTGGATGTCAAGACGATCTCATGCTCGTCGTTAATCCACATCAGAAACATCTTTTCTCTCTCAGCAAACCAAAGGTCCGTATTGCCCCTACTGCCCTACTACTACTACCGACTACTCGTGGAGTGTTTCGATTCGCGCATTCATTTTTTTTTTTTTGTCATTCCTTTTTAAAGATTTTACAATTGACACTGCTCATTGCCGATTACATGAACGCTCTGGGAAGGTTGCCGGGAACTCCTCAAATGGGTTCGTTATCCCGTAGAAGTTTCAGACGTCCCGGACAACAACCGGATATATTAAAATCGACGCCCGATCAACAACACGGAACGTCGTCGTAACGAAAACAAACAACAACAACAACAAATAAAAAATTAAATAAATATAAATAATAATAATAATGATGATAATAATAATAATAATAATAATAATAATAAATTTTTATTTTTTTAAATGATCATTATCATTATCAATCAATGAATCATTCATTTTTTTTATTTTTTTTTTAATTTTTTTTTTTTTACTAGGAAAATTTTTTATATTTAAAAAAAAAGTATAAATGATAATAATAATGATGATAATAATGATAATAATATAATTTTCAGTTTTTTTTTTTATTTTATTTTATTTAATTAAAATTTTTTTGTTTGTTTTTTTTTTTAAATTTTCCAAAAAGAAAGAAAATATATATATATAAACGTATAAGGTGTTTGTTTGTTTGTTTGTTTGTTTGTTGTTTGTCGTGTTCACACACACACGGGTTCGAAAAAATTTAAAGGAAAAAAGGGGGGAAAAATAAATAAATGAATGAATGAATGAAATTTTTTTTTTTTTTATATAATAATTTATTTATTTTTTAAAGAAATAATAATTACGTATGAACATACATATATTATTTATTTATTTATACATACATATATGTATATATTTATTTATTTATGTATATATATATAAAAATAATATATATATATATATATATCGACAAAATTAATTACGCACATAAAATATATATAAATTTACTAAATTTTTTACGTGATGAATAATAGAAAACAAAAAAAAAAATTTTTTTTTTAAATCGTGTTCGAATATTCCCCCCCTCCACAGAAATCATTTTCCACAAATTAAAATTTTCATTTTAAACGCACTTAAGCGTTTTTTTTAAATCGATATATCGATCGAATTATCGTTCACCGTTCGATTCTTTTTATCCAATTTTATTATTATTATTTTTTTTTTTTGTTACAATCGACGGCTTTAAAGTGTAAAAATGGCGCGATACTATTTAAAAGCATTTTAAATTATCTAATATTATTATTATTATTATTATTATTATTACAAACTAAATTTTTTATTTATTTGATGACTTTTATACGTATTATTATTATTATCATTATCATTTTTTTTTATTTTTCATTTCTCTCTCTCTTTTTTTTCTTAAATTTTGTCTTTTGTAAATGTCAAATTTTTCGAATCGCTACTTCCTACTACGTCATCACCATCCACGTGTTGCTGGTGCTGGTGCTGTTGCTGCTGTAAAAAAAAAAAATTAAAATTACGATGATGATGATGATGATGATGATAGATACGCGACGACAGATTGTTTTTAAATGTACCTGCAATGTAGTTGTTGTGGTTGTGGTTGCGGTTGTTGTGATTGCTGTTGTCGTTGCCGTGGCCATTTGCGAACGATTTTCACCCATTTCCGACGGTGCGGGACATTCGAAATGAACGCAATGAAAAACTTCGTTTGCCGTATTGTGAGTACCGGTTATTTTAATGAAAACAACCGGTCGCCTATCGAATTTAAGCGTTTGCCAAGATTTGCAATTTTCTCTCGTTCTATCCGCCACCATTTCCCATTCGCAATTATCGACGGATGTTTCGATGTAATACGAATAAGACCGTTCGTCGCAATCCCATAAAAGCAGTCTGCGAGACAGAGAGAGACAGAGAGAGTGAGTGAGTGAGTGAGAAAGAAAATCAAAACGATATCGATAGGTTCGATTTATATTTACCTCAATGAATCAATTATGTACGGTTGGCCCAACTGTACTAGAATAGCACCCGAACCCAATTGGTGACAGGTATAACCCGAATCCCAATCGTATTTGGTTGTTTCCCCGTTTAAAAGTGCATCCCTAACCCTCGATACACCCTCGATCACTCTTGCGCTTTTTTTTATCGTTGCAACGTTTTCTTTAGGCACTGCAAAGACGAGAGACTTTGTTAATAACAACAACAACGACAAACAAAACGTATAAATTTATTTATTTTTTAATTAATAAGAATAATACCACTACTCACCTATTAATCCGTTTTCTAACGTCACCATATTGCTCGTGTAAATGGCTTCAAAGCTAACAACGTGGAATACTTTGTTAACCGTGTTATTCGTTCCTACAATTCTAATAAATCTGACAACTCTCTCCTTAAAATATAAATACTGCCAAGAACGACAGTAGTATCTCGTGTGATCCACTACCCTAACCCAATCCCTTTGATCCATTGATACTTCTACGTAATACGAATAAGACCTGAAATATTAATGATAATAATAATACGGGTAGTACGATGATAAAAATGTTGTTTTGCTACGTCACGCGCACGTCACGCACCTGAAATCTCGATCCCATAAAAGCATTTTTATGTGATTGATAAAGGATTGAGTTCCGAGTTTGATAAGAATCCCATGATCTTCGTTATCGTTTATTGAATGACGAGTGTATCCCCTTTCTAAATCGTAATTGTCTGTGTTACCATCGAGGAGAGCACCCGTCATTTCTCCTTTTAATACTTGAGTACCTCTCGAAGGATGAGCCATGTTTTCTTCCGGCACTGTTTACAAACAAAATTTTTATTATAAAACTCTTTTAAACTCGTGAGAAAAATTATTATTATTATTATTGTGAGTAATACATAGTAATCCTCTATATCTCAATTCGCTATCTTTAGCTTGTATTTTGGCTTGAATGGCATCGAGAATGGTTTCGGGACTGACCAAATTAGCAGGTCGTACAACGTTTAGTAGTTCTTCAATGGACATGAGAGGTAATCGTACGACTTGTAATATTCCCTGAATGTCACATTCGGGATTTGCTTTTGCCCATTTCCAAACGGCACGAAATATTTCGACTTCGGGAGCGTAAAAAGTATCCCTTTGTAAGAGTTCCCTCAAAGCATCCTGAAATCGAATAAGAATCATTACACACAATAATCATTGCTGATTTTGTTTTTATTTATAATTAAATTTCTCACTCACGGGTGATAAATGATTAAACGATTCGTGTGAAATAACATCTAATGCGTTACCATCCATGAAAGTGGTACAAACTTTGGTAAGGAATTGTAACTGATAAAGACGACCAGAATCAAAAATACCACAAACATTTCTTATTTGTAAAATTTCTCTCAGGTAATCACCAATCGCTGATTCTAATTCAATGAATCCATACTGATGAGAAAGACCCAATGTATCTAATATAACTTCTTCCTGATAACAAAATATTTTTATCAATATAAAATAATCTTTTTTTCTCCCCTCCCCACTATAAGATTACAAAATATTATTCAATATAATGAAATTACTTTTAAATTAGTCAGTGATATATGACCAGTGTATATATATTTCAAAAGACCCTTGAATGCTTCAACTGTAGCACTTTTCATTTCAATTTCTGTCTGTTGAGATTCTTTCATACCTCCATATAAGAGTGCTCGAAAGTAATCACTTCTCGAAGCCAAAATAACTTTATGAGCAGGATATTTATTACCTGTTTTTATTGTAAAAAAAACAATTTTAAATTTATCCTCTCAAAAGAAACGATAATTATTTATGTAAATATGTAGTCTTACCTTCGACGATGAATGTGACATCACTGTATTCTTCATTTAAAAATAAAGCTCCAATGTGATCAGACAAATAATTTGTATGCTCTATTTCCCCACTTGGAGCATTCATGGAACTCATTTTCTTATAAATTTTTTTTTACAAACAAATTATTCGAAAAATATTAAATTGAAAAGCGAGAATGCTGGAAAAATAAATACATCACATTATGTTATAACTATAGTCTAGTGAAATCATTATAATAAGTAAATAGTTTTGTTTTATGTGAATTACACTAGTGTGACACTAACTTAATTTTTAATTAATCGAAAAATGATTTATGTCTCATGAGAATAATGCTTTTTTTAAAAAAAAAATCTATTCGAAACATGAGAAAGAATTTAATTATTTATTACAATAATAATAATAACTGATGACATAAAATTTAAAATAACAATAACAAATTATTTGTACTTTATTTCATTTCTAGGTTTTCTGTTATCAAAATTTGATAAAATCATAACAAATGAAAAATACAAAAAAAAAAAAAAAATCACCATTGTATAATGATGACAATTAATGTTTATAATTGATTATTATAAAGACGGTATTATTATTATTAACAAAATTTTAATACTGTATTACATATTGAAATAAATAAAAAAAAAACGAAACAACCGATAAAATCCAACAACAACAAAAAAAGAGAAAGAGAAAACAAACAATTAAACCTGCGTAGTTTGTTTATAATAATAATAATTACCTTAATCATTTCATTACCTTCCGAAAAAAAATATTATTATTATTATTATTATTATTATTTTATAATAAATAATTTTATTTTAAAATTTACGCCGAATATTTTAAAAGCGAAAAATAATATTCAACCCCTAACATGTTTTTTTTTTTTTTTTTTTAAAGATAAAAACACAAAATGGCGTCGAAAATAATATTTAGTGAAGGTCGTACGTATGACGTATATAAAATGTTGCCACCATAATTTCGTGGCATTAGAAAATTTAACCGCTTATTATGGTATTAATGTAAGATGTAAATTTGTTGTTATTTTCCTCTTCTTTTTGGAAATTGAATTTTTTACATAAAATAAATGTAAGTTATTATGCATTTTAATATTTAAAACAACAATTAATTAATTTCTTTAAATAGTTACTAAAAATTCGTTTAATATAATTCGAAGAAATTTAAATAAATCAAACAAAAAAAAAAAAAATTTAACACTCACTTCAAATAGCAACAAAATAATAATTTTGTAATTTTTTTTTTTTTTTTTAAACATGAATTTTGTTTGTTGTAAAATAAAACTACTGACTCATGAGTTAGTTTGATATGACAACAAACTACAATTTAGCCAATATAATTTGATACAAACACAACAACAAACATTTGAAAGCCACACACACACACACACATGAGTTAAAGTTTGTTTAAAAAAAGTTCCACAACCATTTTTTTCTTTTTTTTTGTTGTTTTATATAAAAAATCTTAAACTCACTATGATTGTCTGAAATGTTAAAAATCGAATGCATGTCTGAACAAATTAATAAAAAAAAATTTTCATTTAATTTAACATGAATATTAATAAAAAATGGAGTTAAAATAAGGTGGGGTTTAGTGTTGACCACAAACAAAAATAATTGGGTACGGTTTTTTATTATTATTATTATTATTTTCATTTACAACAAAACAAATTTTTTTTTTTCTTTTCCAAATTGATTTTCTAAAAATGTATTCTTCTTCTTCTTTTTTAAAAAGAAAAGGGAGAAAAAATTGAAAGGGTATGCATGCATGCAAGGAAGCAGGCACACACACATTCAACCCTTTCTTAAGATGAATTCATTGGGAGGTGGTTGCTACCCGCGGTTTTAATCTCCTGCTGTTGGTCTTTATTAATTTTTTATAAGGTAAAAAAGCAAGGTGATTTTCTTTAATAATAATAATAATAATAATAATAATAATAATAATAATAATAAGTCACGTACTTACAAACCGTGTAATCGTCGGTTAAAAATATTTCAAATCAATCGTTATCATTTGATAAGAAAAATATTTTTTCTTCTTCTTCTTCTACTTTTTCTTTACTTCTTCTTCTTCTTCTTCTACTTTTTTTTACTTCTTCTTCTTCTTCTTCTACTTTTTTTTACTTCTTCTTCTTCTTCTTCTACTTTTTTTTACTTCTTCTTCTTCTTCTTCTTCTACTTTTTCTTTACTTCTTCTTCTTCTTCTTCTACTTTTTTTTACTTCTTCTTCTTCTTCTTCTACTTTTTCTTTACTTCTTCTTCTTCTTCTTCTACTTTTTTTTACTTCTTCTTCTTCTTCTACTTTTTTTTACTTCTTCTTCTTCTTCTTCTACTTTTTCTTTACTTCTTCTTCTTCTTCTTGTTCTTTTTCTTTAAGGATTAGGAGGAGGAATGAACCATAAAAATTTTTTTAGTTGATATCATTAAATAATAATCCTTTGAGTAATGAAATGGAAACGAAAAAAAATTTGTTTTTTTTTAATCATTTGAGTGAAAAATTATTTTCTCATTTAAATAAAATCGACTGTTAAAATTAACAAAAATAAATAGAGATAATGATAATAATAATAATAATAATAATAATAACGAAATTTATGTTATGAAAAAAAACGTTAATATTAAATTTAAAAGATTTTAGCGTAAATTTTTTTTTTTTTTTTTGATTAATCGAAGAAAATCTTATTCGAAAAAGAAAAAAATGTTATTAACGTATTTCGTTAATTTAAAAAAAAATATTCTTCTTCCACGATTTTTTTTACTTTTTTTTTCGTTGAACGTTACAATAATTTTTTTTATTTTTATTTTAAAATTCTTTCTTTTTGTTGTGCAAAAAAAAAGTTTTAGGTTACAGTTTTTTTTTCTGACTTAAAAGGAGAGAGAGAGAGAGAGGTAAAGAGAGAGAGACTTGAGTAGGGGAGGAGGAGAGAGGGAAAGAGGGGAAAAAAATTATAAAAATTTATTATTATTAATTTTTTTTTTTTTTTCAATTGCAATTATCGACGTGATGGTAAATTTTTATTTATTTAATGTTTACTAAAGTGATAAAAATTAAGTTGGCAACATTTTTAAAAGTAATAATAATAATAACAAAAAAAAGTATTCGTTTAAAATAAATAATTTAAAAAGGTTTTTTTTTTTTTTTTTTCGGTGAAAAGGCACATGGGGCTCACCTTTTTTTTTTATTAAAATGAGCCTTTCAACGTTTTCTATTCTTTGTTCCTGTTGTTTGCTATTATTATCATTATTATTATTATCATTTCTCTACTTTTTCATCATATTATTTCTCCTTTTCCTTCATTCGAACCTCTTCCTCCTCCTTCTGCTCCTCTCCTTCATCTCCCTCGGCTTTGAAAGCTTTCAAATAAAACATGGTACACTAAAGATATTTTATAAAAGACGTTTTTAATAACTTATGTATTTCACATTTTCATCATAAGTTAAACAAAGGCGGTAATCCATTTTGATCGGAGATTTAGACAGTTTCTGTTGGAAACCTACGAACCAGAGACCATATAAGACAAGTTGAAGTTTCGTAATTCTAAAACCATTTCTTTCCCCTTTTCCCACTTCATCCCTCCTTTTATTCCTCCTTTTTCTTACTACTTCTCCTCCTCCTACTTTCCTCTCTCTTCGTTTCTCTCACACTTGAAACTTTCTTCTCGCCACCCATTTTCCTTTACCTTCCCACGGGACGCAGACTTGTCGAGGAAGACTCTATAAGAGTTTTTTTTTTCGAGAGAGAAACGTAAGAAGACGTGTTTGAACCCACTCTTCGCTTTTGTTAAAATTAAATCATTTTACGTTTTATTTTCTCATCTCATACTTGTGATTTCTCGAAGAAATCTAAACTTCTCTTTCTCCCCCACATACGGCCTCTTCTTCACTCTTTTACTCCCCCCTTACCCCTTCTTCCCTTCCTACCACCGCCACCGCCGCCGCCATGCTTTTTCCTTCATCTCTTTTTCTTCCTTCCGTTTTTCTTCTTGTTCATATATATATATCTCTCTCTCTCTTTCTCCCTCTTTCCATCCCTCCACCTCCCTTTCTCTCTCTCTTTATCTTTCTACGAATTTCTTTCGAATCGTCAAACATTCTCTTTTCTTATTGTTTCTTTTTAGAAATTCTCTCATATTGAGAAACTAGATGCAATGTACAATTTTTTTTTTTTTCGGGATAGATTTAATCTTATCGCTTTCTGCTTTTTCCTTCTCTCTCTCTCACTCTCACTCCCCCCCTCTCTCTCTCATTCTTTTTTTTCCTCGTTGAATGATGGATTGCTTAAGAGAGAGAGAGAGAGAGATTTAGAAAATTTTAAAATATTTTTATTTTTATATTATTTTTCACATAAAAACCTTTTCTCTTTTCTTACAACCCCTTAATCATCATCATCCCCCTCCTCCCCCTTCCTATTGTTTGTTGAATTTGTTTCAAAAAAAAAAAAACTGTTTTCCATTATAAAAACAAAACATTGTTTAAATATTTTATATACTCTATGATTATTTTCCATCCGCCATTATTATATTAAACTTGCGATGACGTAAGATTTTTATTTACACGTCGTATAATAAAAAAAAAAACCCGCGAAAATTATATAATTTGAAAAAAAAAAATGATAAACGAGCCTAAAAAAAAAGAAAGAAAAGTTATAAGAAAAAAAGAAAAGTTTTTTCCTTTCTTTTTCTTTCTTTTTTTCTTTCTTTCCATTAAAAAATATTACTTTTACAATTTTTTTAATAACATTATAAAGATAATTAACCTGTTGCTTTTGTATAAAGTAAACATCAAATAAAAAAAAAGGAAAAAAGGAAAAAAAAAATGTATTAATTTTTTATATTTAACCTAAAAAAAAAAAAAGCCAAAAATGGGTTAATAATGATGATGATAATAACCCAATTTCAACCCCCTGAATTTTTTTTTTTTTTTTTTTAAATCGACTCGGTTGTTTTTTTTATTATTTTTTTAAGGTGTTTAGAAAAATATTATTATTATTATTATTATCGATTGATTTCTATTCTCTCTCTCTCTCTCTCTTTCTGTCTTTAATTTTCGATATATGTATTGATTATCATTTATTGATTTTATAAAAAAAAAAAATTTTAAATC